ACTGTATTTAGGTTTCAGACATTTTTCGGTAGATTAAAAAAAAATATTCGAACAATGACAAAGCTAGTTTTGTATTGCACCATAGATAAAACTTACAAGTCAAGAGATAAGTCAAATGATAAAATTTATCTAGATGTTCTAGATTTGTTTTAATCAAAATTATTTAATTAAAGTTGAAAAAAGCCGACTTAGCCTTTGGGTTTGGGTGGTTAAAGCGTCTAGTCATGGACCTAGTATTAGTACTATAGTTAATACTACCTCCATGCGTCTAGGGTATTTTTTGTTTTTAATGTTGGTAACAATGTCAGTCGTGGCGAACATGAAAATTCAATTACGCACAATGACAGATGACTTGAATTTTCCTCACAAAATTCCCTAAATTAAAAAAAAAACAAGAACTCTTCAAAAACGGCTTAAAATTTTAACTTTATCGGAAAAAAATGTCACACTTTTTGTCACTATTGACACAAAAGTCGAGTGCAAATTTTCACCTATATCTTATCTGAGTAAATGAAAATATTGATAACCTATTTATCGACGACCAAAGTACCTTTGTGTTAGTTTAATTTGTTGCAAAAATGTCAACTGACGCAGTTGGTTTTACTATAACAGAGACCAAAAGAAAAAAATCCTTTTACGATGAAGAAGAAATTGTTATAAAACCATCAACTGAGTTAATTCCTGATGAATACAAACACGATGTTGAAGAAAATGTGTTATTGCACATTTTCAAAACCGATTACGATGAAGGAACGGCTGAAGAATTGTTAGAAGCAGCAAAATATATCAAGTATAAAGTGAATAATGACAATTTACATAATCTCAACACACGGGAAGAATTTTATGAAGATATTGAGAAAAGTAAGTCGATGAACAAAACCGAATTTGGTGGTACACAGGGTGCACCAGAGAAAAATGCCATCTAAGGTAAGATACCAGGAACATGGAAAAAAATGGTAAAAAAATTCTATTGCCAAAACAGGGCAAAAAATTGCAAAATTGACTCCAAAATAGGTGTGTTTTTTAACGAGAAACTCATAAAATTTGGAAAATTTTGTTAAAACAAGGTAAAAAACAACAAAATTAGGTCTATTTTTGTTTATTTTCTAAGATTTAGAGCATTTTTCCTGCGAAATTAAATGAATTTGAAAAAAATTCTCAAAACGATGAGGCAAGAAATTGTAAAATTAAGTCTGAAATGCACTATTTTTTTTAAGTTATCTAGCGTTTTTTCCAAAAAACTTCCAAAATTTATGAGATTTTACCAAAGCTAAGTAGCGAATTCCAAAATTACTTCTGAAATTTACTATTTTTTATTATTTTGGTGAATTTAAAGAGTTTTACTAAGGACCTTAATAAATTCTAGATTTTGCCAAAATAAAGCAGAAAATTGCGAAATTAGGTCTAAAAAGCCTTATTTTCACTTCTTTTGATAAGTTTTAAACATTTTTTTAATCAAGAAACTAAATAAATTAAAAAAACTTTGCAAAACAAAGCAAAAAATTTTAAAATTGGCTCTGAAATACGTTATTTTTTATTATATTAGGAGCATTTCTTACCTAGAAATTCCTGAAATCTTGCAAAAAAATACAAAATTAGTTCTGAAATACAATGTTTTTACTCATTCTAAATTGTAACTTTGTTTATTGGCAAAATTTTTGTACTTATACTAAATAATTATAAAAAAAACATATATAAGATAGACAAAAAGATGTCAATTGTCAAAATTTTTTGACAGATAGAATTTTTAAGAACATTTTCTATCTTCTTGGTATTTTATCTTATTGTCGTAAGAAATTACAAGAATTTAGGGAATTCGTGAATTGGTTGCCATAAAACATGTCGTAACTAGTGTCAAAATTTAGGTTAAGTCACCTGTCAGCTAGTATGTATAAATGATAGAAAACGTCAACTGTCATCAACAAAGGGTAACCAACCCTAGACATACAAAATTACTTCTGAAAATTCTAGTTACCAACAACATGAAAAACGAAATTTCCCTAAAAGTCTAATTTCTTGTTGATTTTTTTTTGAAATTTTTCTCTGGGGCGCGATTTCAGCCACACCCTATACATTCTCACTTTTAGTTAAAAAAGAATCGGCCAATAAAAGTGGCCTTTTTATGATTTTTATCGGCTATTTTGAAAGAAAACACCCGAATGGAACCATCGCTTTCATGAACGAACGCAAAAACAACTACCTTCAAGTGAAAGAGATTTGGAACACGTTTTCGGCGAATAATTGTCCGGAATTGAAGAATAAACCCAAAATTTTCATGTTTTGTGTAAGTCATACCAAAAATGTTTCGATTTTTACAAGGATTTTAGGTCTCAGGGGCCCCATATGCCGTCCAATCGGACGCTTTGAGACACCGAAGTATGGCTTTTGAAAAAGTCTACGACTTTCCCGCCGAATCTGACATGTTAATAGTGTATAAAAAAGTCGATGGTAATTTGATTTTTTAGTGATTATAATTTCTTTCTTTTATACAGGGTGTTCCATTTTTATTGTTACAAATTTAAACAGGCGATAGGATATTCAATTATTAGACAAAAGTTTCCTATAAACATGTATCGAAAAATGCTTGGTAAGGGAGCTACACCCCCTGGAAGGAGGCTAATATGTTTTTGCTAATATTTCAGAAACCATTTAAGATAAAATTACAAAATTTGGTACAGATGATAACCTTTATACACCTAAACGAATTCAAACATCAAATGTCGAAATTTTTAATCAGGGGCGTACGAAACTGGAGGGGTTTAAGGTAAAAAAATACCTTATTTATTTTGGCTTTAGTTTCTCGGTACTTTCAGCAACAAAATCTTAAGTTCGATAGTTTATCACAGAAAAGTCTCTCTTGTATCGATACAACTTATTGTTTTTGAATAAAATTAATTTAAAATTTATGTTACACACCAATACAACATTCATAATAAATCAGAATTTACAGAATATTAAAGCAAGAAATTTATATTTTTTAATCAACCTCAACTAATTAACATTACATTACAGTAACAATAATAACATTAATTAAATGAATTTGCCTAAATCTAAAGGAGTTGTTCAAAGTGACCACCATTTTGGTCAATGCATAACTAAAGAAAACTAAAGCCAAAATAGATAGGGTATTTTTTTACCCTAAACCCCACCAGTTTCGGACGCCCCTGATTAAAAATTTTGACATTTGATGTTTGAATTCGTTTAGGTGTATAAAGGTCATCATCTGTACCAAATTTTGTAATTTTATCTTAAATGGTTTCTGAAATATTAGCAAAAACCTATTAGCCCCCATTGAGGGGGTGTAACTCCCTTACCAAGCATTTTTCGATACATGTTTATAGGAAACTTTTGTCTTAGAATCGAATATCATATCACCTGTTTAAATTTGTAACAATAAAAACGGAACACCCTGTATATATTTTGTTATATTTTATATACCAGGTGAATAAAAAGTATGGAAGCAAGCGTTTTTTTCGTAAACTAAGGACTTTACGAAAAAAATAATTAGTGTAGCGTAAAGTACAATTAAAATGTGACCATTTATCAAGAATAAAATTTTACAAATTTCTTTTAGTTTTTGAGTTCTGGAATTTTTTTTTTTTTTTTAAATGGCAACCCTCCATGGTAATTTTTTTAATTAAAGATTATGATCTAAAAATGACCTCTAATTAAACAGAATTGTTTTTTAGTCAGTACTTTTTTCCAGAACTCGAAAACTAAAAGAAATTTCGAAAAATGTTATTCTTGATAAATGGTCACATTTCAATTGTACTTTACGCTACACTAATTATTTCTTTCGTAAAGTGCTTAGTTTATGAAAAAAACGCTTGGTTCCATACTTTTTATTCACCTGGTATATTTTTTATATATTCTTTCTTCTATAATTTTTAGATGTCTCCCCACACGTGCAGATATTTCTTAGTAATTTCAGCCAAAACATGAGAAATCACAGCAAAAAATACGACATTATCGATTTGGTGAGTCACATCAACGAGGAGAATTCCCGACATGTCCCTTTGATCATTTCCACACTGACTCGAAAATTTTATTTGACTCCGAATGTGGAGCGGGAGCATTTTTTGTCCGTTGTTGAGAATACGAGTAGTGTGCAAAACGATCTTCAGAAGATTAAGGAAGATTTGGAGAAGTTGCATCACGAGCTTCAGAAAAAGAAGAAAATGTTTGGGTTTAGTTTCAAGAAGAAGAGCGAAGATAGGCCGAACATTGAGACAAGGAGTGATAAAGTGGAACAAAGGAGAAGTGTGAAATCGGGGGAAGTACAGAGGGGGAGGTTGAGTGGCACTCCAAAGAGTCCAAAACCGGTTTTAAGATCGAGAAAGCCGTCTGAAACCGAGGGAGAGGAGAAGAAGAAACCGATGTGGAGGTTTTAAGATTTGTAACTAGTCGTTATCTTGCATAAATAAAATATGAGTATTTTTCTTCAATTTTTTTTAATTTCTGTTCCGTCTAAACCATAACTTGAAAATTCAATTTGGTAAAATAAAAAATGGGATATTTCATTTAGAAAAATTGAGTTATGGGTGTTTGAATTATTACAAAAGTAACCTTAAAATTTTAGAGTTTGTTATTTTTTTTTTCAGAATTTGAAAACACCAGAAGAAAGATCTAATCTCTCCCTTTCAAATGCCAAAAAGCAAATTCAAAATTTTAAAAAATAGCTGAGTTACCGATTTTTAAAGTGGAAGGTGCAGATCTAAAAATTTTCAAAAAGGTCTAAATATTTCAAAAACGGCTAAATTTAGGTATAGAGAAAGCTAATAAAAACTCCCTTAAAATAACCAGATTAATCCAGAAATGCAGTAAAAAATATACCATTCCATTTAAAATAAGAAAGTTGAGACCAATTTCCGGTATAACCGGAAGTGCCGCCATTTTGAAAATATTTTCATTTAGAAGGACTTAATGGATTATGGCTACGTACCAATTTTCAAATAAATACGATTATTCGAACTCTCAATACTTCTAATGTGGCGTTTTGACGGAACACCCTGTATACAGGGTGATCCAGGGGTGTGTAATTGGGCTATAACTTTTTTGGTATTTGATGTATTGACATGCCGTTTTCAACATGTAGTGGATCTGGTTAAGATGCACAATTTAAAAATATTTTTAACTTATACAGGGTGTTGCATACAAGGTAGTATATCAAAGTTATATTTTTTTAAATAGAACACCTTATATGTTTTTACATTTTTAGTTTCTACGTAAAAAATAATGTAACTTCATGTGTACTATTATAGGTCTATCTTTTTCCGTTTCGGAATTATTTAATTTTTTGTTATTTTTGTTAGATAATTCTTTTGTGTGATAAAACTGAAAATTGATCACGGTTTCTATTAATAACACAACGAAATAAATGTGAAATCATAATTTGTTATCAATTTTATGTTTGGATGTAAACAAAATATAAAAACGAGAAATACTGAAGTACTCGTATTTACGTATTATGTAGGTAGTTTGAAGAGTTATTTCGAAAGTGGAAAAAATGCCAGTTGCTTTTCTGGTGATTTGTGCAATGTTGGTTTATACAAGAGCCGTTGGTGCTCCTTTTTTTGATTTGGTAAGTTTTTTTTTTTGTTTTTGTGATATTAATTAAAATTTTATTTAATTTTAGTATGACTTTTTCGATTATGATTCTTCCTCGGAAGAAGAAAAAAAGGAAGACAAAGTGCGCGTTTACTTAACTTATACTAATGTTGAAAAACGTCCAAAAGAGGAAAATAAGGCACGGGCTCCTTTATCTATACATGTTGGTCCAGTTGAAGTCGATTTTCTTAATATCACTGTTAACGCCATTGCTATACTTACAAAAATTAAATAAATAAAGAAGAAGAAGAAGAAGAAGAAGAAGGAGACATGAATGGAAGGATGCGTTTGTAATTTTTATAATATTTATTTTGTTTTTTAATGTTTATTTATTATTTAAAAATATTTGTATATACAGAGTGTTTTAGAAATAAAAAAATTCAAAATTAAAGGTGAATATTTTTTTATGAAACTCGGCCTTAACATCTGATAAATTTCAACTCATATTGTCTAGAACCTTCTTTTAAGTTGCTGAAAGTACTTAAAACTTTAAATCCTAGAATCGTAAAATTTTGAAACCAAAAAAATGAGACTTTAGAGAATGCAGAAGTTTGGGATCTATCTATATTTTCTCTATAACCAAAATTTTAGATTTTAGAATTTAGAATAAAAAAAATGGGTTTTGGAAATCTAGATTTTTGAAATCATTGTTTAATTTCCTGAATCTCAAGTAGCTATTAGAATTTTTCTAAATCTTATAATGTTACAATTATAAGAACAAGAACTAAAAGATTTTAGAATTTTGGAATTTATTGATTGATTTTTAGTCTAAAATTTTATAAAAGTACTCGTATTTAGGTTTTAGAAATTCTTAGGAGAATTTTAAAAATTTGGAAATTTCTTAATAATTAGAACTTTTGGAATTTTGATTTCAATAATCCTTTGCCCACAGATTGAAAATTCCAATTCCGGAAACATCGGTTTGTCTGTTAGGTTGCTAGAAGTAAAATTTCAAATTCTAAAATCGAAAAATTTTGAAACCGTAAAAATGAGATTCTAAGGAATGCAGACATTTGGAATTTATTTTTAGAAGCCAGAATTTTAGAAGTACTAGAATTGCTTTAAACGTTTCAGATTCTAAAATTTAGAATTAAAAAAATTTGAATTTTGAAAATCTAGATTATTGGAGTCAATGCTTAATTTCCTAAAACTCAAGTATTAGAATTCTTTTAAATCTTATAATTTTACAATTTTAAAAACACGAATCT